CCTCTAGCTTCTAGTATCATGACTCTACCTCTAAGGATGGTAGTATCTGTATGCTGTCTCTATACAGGTACATTTTGAGTACTAAAGAGGCTAAAGCACCTTTTGAATTCCATCAGTCTGCATCCAGTGGAATATCCTGTACTACTGTCATAGCAGAAAACCCAGTCTAAAGTACTAATGTCAGAACATAAGTTTCCTAGAACTTGTGTCAATACTGATACAATGACCTAGGTAGCTAGGCATGTAGGGCTCTGACCAAGGCAGCAACTGGCTTCATTTGGGAATATCTTTCGTATCTGGAGGGAGCTGTATTCTCCCACCAGTGCAGTATTACTTACAGCAATTTTCTGGGTGTCTGGGGAAGAAAAGAACCCGGGGCTGGAGTCTGATCTGTTACACCAGAGTCCATTTGAAGTTAATGTCCTTTAAGTCAATGGATGTTACTCTGGATTTATACCAGTGCAACTTTGACTGGAATATGGTCCTCTGTATCTAATGTTGTGATCCTTCCAAGTCTCTCATCCCCTTCCCAGAAAGCAGGATGTTAGTGCTACTGCTGTCTCGTTTTGTACTGACAATAATTAGCCCATCGTGTACAGTTAACTACACTGCATCTCACTGTCCAGTAGTATCTGGTTTCCTTATTAGCATTTCTCAGCTTCGTGTAGGAGAACTGCGAGAAGCTAGCAGCCAAAGGTTGGTTAGCTTAATTATGGCAAAGCTCCTCTGCTCTGGGGTACTGGAAAAGGGCTCTGGCACCATCTGCCTTTCCAGGGGTGTTAAATATTTTCCATTCTCGGTGCCAAGCTCTCAATCTAGAAGTCACTTTTGGGTCACCTGGCATGGAGATATATGTGGATGACCTTCAGTTTGGGGCTTCAATTTCTGGTATTGCCTTTCAGTTCACCTTCTAGGCAAAAGGTGAGAACTCAGGTTTGCATGTACCTGAGCTGGAGCTGAATCTACTGCAGAACAGAATGGGATTGCCAGAAGACCTCTGAACAAAGCTTGTCAACCACTGCCTTCTCAACAGGGCCAGCTCCAGGCACCAGCTTACCAAGCAGGTGCTTGGGGAGGCCACTTCGGAGAGGGGCGGCACGTCCAGCTGTTTGGCCGCAATTCGGCGGACGGTCCCTCACTCCTGCTCAGAGCGAAGGACCTCCCGTGGAATTGCCGCCGCAGATCATGATCGCGGCTTTTTTTTTTTTTGGTTGGCTGCTGGGGCGGCCAAAACCCTGGAGCCGGCCCTGCTTCTCAAATCCAGGCTAAGTATGCTGCATGTCATAGTTAGGGCAGCAAACCTATTCCTTGCCCTCTACAGCCTGCAAAGATGTGTCACAGAGCTCTTTGCATAACGCTTAGACGGGCCTTGGCTTCTAAAGCTGTGATTCAGTGACCGCAGTTGCTGTGATTACATATTCAAAGTTGTATGTAGTCGTATGTAGATGGCAGGGGCAAGTTAGCCCATCATAAACGCTCTTCTGTAGCTTTCTTGGCTGTTAGAAGGTGCCAAAAGCTCCTGTCCCACGCTGATCTTAGCTCTTTAACTCCAAGACTCTCTAGTGAAGCATGTAACTACAGGCTTTAATATCGACACTGTGTGAGTATTCACACTGCATTCCAGGACAGGATTTTGAGTGCCATGAGCTCAATGTAAAACCTGCAGTGGGTTATGTGAGTGCAGATTTCCCTTTTTGTTTCCAATTCCTGCTCTGGAGGGGGATATCCCTCGGGCATTTCCATCTATGCTGCATTTCAGATGATACAGAAAAATCAGGCTGAGGAGGGTGGGTAAAGGAGTGATTCGTCTCTTCTGTATAGTGACTGGGAATCTGCCTCTTGTTTTGGAGTGGCTAGGGGTCAGATTGCATGGGGTAATTTACCTGACCTGTTCCCTGAATGTAAATGGCAGTCTTATTATGACCAACTTTTTCCTTAGCCTTGCTTGCTGCCCTTATTGTGGGAACTAGCTGTCATATGCTAGGAAATAAGGCTTCATAAAACTTTTTTTTTTCCATTGACTGTCCACACCCTTGGAAAGGGTAATTGTGACATCTCCTTTTTTTTTTTTTTTTTTATGCTGCCTCTGATTAAAAGCATGACTTAGTGGAAAAAAAGGTTGACCTCCTTAGGTTCAGCCTCTCGTGCAGCTGTTCAAGATAAGATTGTGCTAGTAAAAAAAATAAAGCTAAACACCACATTTGGGGATATTTGTTTCTGAGGAAATGACTAGCTCCTTGGCTTCTGAGAAAACCAATCTGTCAGTCTATTTTCAAAACTACTCCATTTGACCTAATGTAGCTAAAATGATAGCAGCCAAAGGTTAGCAGTATAATAATTAAACTGTTTTCCTACAGTGTAGGCTATTTTAGTGGCATTATCAGCATATATAACCTACTATAATTTGCTTTCTTTCCATTGCAGCCCTCTAAACAATACAATGTCAAGGTTCTCTGTATCCCAAGTCTGGGGAGTTAATACTGAAAGTTCAGTTCTGTCTACAGCTCTTAAGCAATGGACTGGGTGTCTGGGATTGACCTCGCTGAAGCCACTAAATCGTATGAGACCCAGTTACTGTATAGCTTGCTCTGGGAATGAGTAATTGCAAGTAGCACAAACTGTAACACCCCTGTTAATGTCCCAGCATTCATAGGCCTTGTCCATACTAGACTCCCCTTAGTTTCCTAGCAGTGCAGCTGAAGGACCTGGCTAAGGTGCCCTGGAGCAGTGTAGGAGAGCTGGAATTACACCCCTCTGCCTTGCTGTCTACCACTAGCCTAGGCTGCCTGTCTGAAATGTGGCTTTTTGTTTTGATCCATCCCTGACTGGGAGTCTCTAATGGCCATACTGAGGCTGTTACTGCAGTATCGTCTCCCAAAGTTAATCTCTCCTCTCCCTCCCTTCTTAGTAGCCATTTAACTGCTACTAAACTGGCAGGAATTTGGGATTAGGTCCCAAAAAGTCTTCCATTATCTAAAGAACAACACAGCTAAAGCCTGTGAAACCCTGAGTATTCAAAGATGCATCTGAACTATGCTTTCCTTTGGCTATTGAGTGCTGGCAGTGAATCACAGAACACTCAATGGAAACTGATCTGCGGAGGGGGTTAATTGACTGCCATATTACAATATATCTCTAGTAGCTCCATTGAAGAGAAGAACAGGAGTACTTGTGGCACCTTAGAGACTAACAAATTTATTAGAGCATAAGCTTTCGTGGACTACAGCCCACTTCTTCGGATGCATTGAAGAGGTTAGGCCAAATTTTCCAAGAGTGTCTACTGGGTGTGGGTGCCCAGCATAGGATTGGAAGGGGACTTGTTGGATCATTTTGTCCAGTCCCCTTCCATTGCAGGCAACACCATCATATAGTCCCTTTCATAAATTTATCAAGCTCCATCTTAAAATTAGGTAGGTTGTTTTTGCTCCTCCCGGAAGGCTGTTCCCAAACTCACATGAAACACCTCAGGCTTCTGACTTGAGCATCTGCCACTACAACTGGAACTGCAAGTGCTCAGTGCTTTTTAAAAAAAACAAAAACAGGCCTTGCCTCTCAAACTGAGGCATTCCAAACTAGTGGATGCTTCTGAAAATGTAGGCACTGCTGTCTAAATGAGGCACTACTCTCGTCTCCTCTGCAAGCCTCAGGAAAATGGAGTAGCAGTCGTGACTGCCTTCTTGTATTTTGAAGACTTTTTATATTGATGCCCAGGTAAATGCTTAGTCTTGTAAACAGGACAGGAATTTTTGATAAATGGTTAATTGCTTAATTATCACTGGATAATCAGAGTTGGCAGTTGTCCCTTTTTCCTCCTACTAAAAATTCTTGTCAGTGTGAACTGGGGTTTATTAAAGACCGTCTGTTGGTAACCCACAATAATTGCACTGCATTGCTCACAAGCAATAGTACTTTCTTGCCTCTCCTGCTTTGAAGGTTCAGTAAACATGGCATTTGGTCTCATAACTACAAGTACTCCTGCAACACACTACTACAAAAGCAAGGTGCTTTTCCTGGATTGAGTTTCTGGATTGACATCTAGCATTAACAGTGTAGTCTGCTCTAGAAAACCATCTGGGTGTTCTCCCATCTCCAGCATTCTCCTACCACAATGGCACCAGTGTTTGGGCTTGAGTGGTCTGCTGGGGTTATCAAAGGGTGGCATCCAGATGGAAGATGGCAGCAGGTCCAAAATCCACTTTAGGACTGGGAAATGCATCTAAGGAACTTTCAGTGCAATAGAAAATACTGGGCTTATAGGATAATCTGAAAAAAAAAAACCATTTTCAGGAATAGTTTATTACTCATTTGCATGTCACTGCACTCTAGCCTTTAAATTTCATCCCATGACCCCTGCATACTGTCCCCTAATCCTGGAAATGTTCTCTGATTTAAAGGTAACCGTGTAAAGAGCCACTTTCTCCATGTTGACTCAGAACAAGAAAACAGTCTTAGATTGCTGGTCCAAACCCTTGAGGCAAAAAGGCCAAGAAGCAGAAGAGCTAAAATAGTGAGCCTGTTTTCACAATATTTCTGGCCTGACCAAAAGCAGGAAATGCAGACAACAGATTCTCATAGCAAGACTTTTTTAGCTCTGTCTGCAAATTCATGAGCATTGGTGGTAAGCAGTGAATCTCTGGGAGGCTTAGTTGATATAAGTGTCTGAAAGCATTGAGATGTCCATCTTGAACTTTATTCCAGCAGCCTGTCAGTTTTGGAATCCTTAAGATAGCTGCCCCACCCACTTTTTTTTGTATTTGCTTATTTTTTTGGCAGCATTCTGGTGCTTCAGGTCCCAGCCTGGTTCATGAGTTTTCCTGAGAAGCTAATCTGAAAACTCCTCAACTTGCAGAACTTCATGTATGGTTGACTCTGTCCCTTGGAACCAGACCTCTTGAGATTTGGCTCTTGGTAGTTGTGATGCTCTGTAAGCTGCTAGCCAATATCAAAACACTAAAATATTCTTTCTAATGGATGTACTCCTTTTTTTTTTTTTGTTTCAGATTTTTCCTGACCCCTCAGACTTTGATCGTTATTGTAAGCTGAAGGACCGCCTGCCTTCCATTGTGGTGGAGCCAACAGAGGGGGACGTGGAGAGCGGTGAGCTGAGATGGCCACCTGAGGAATTCCTTGTCCAGGAGGAGGAGGAGGAGGAAGAAGAAAACTGTGAAGAGGCAAAGAAAGAGAACAAAGAGCAATAAATGGCAGCTGAAAAAAATACAAGGGATTGTATTGTCTTGAGGGAAGAGCCACACCTGTTCTGAAGGTCTTTTTTTCTTAAGAAAAAAGACAGACAAGTTCAATTTTGCACCTGCAAGATCTTAGGTTTTTTCGTATTCTCTGTATCGAGAACTGGAGCCCTCGATGTGACACTCTCCAGACCTTCTGAGGAAGGAAGTCATGCAGAGAAAAATGTTTGCTGTTCTCAAGATCACTATCTGACTTTTTTTTTTTATTTTTTTGTTAAGACTGAGAGGCGGCAGAGAAATTCCAAGGCCCTTGGTGGATGGTGAACAAGCAAGGCTGTTTAATGAGTGGTGGGGAGGGTGGGAATAAAGAGAAATGTAAGCAGTGTTGAGCAAGGAACTGCCTCTGGCTACAAAAGCATGAGACTAGAGTCTTCATCTCTCAAATTTTCCTTTCTTATAAGCTTCTGTTTGTGTATCTGGAGTGGAGGGGAAATGTGTGGTGACATGTCACAAATGGATGCTCTGCTGACCTAATTGCTGGGTGGCATAGAGAGGCAAAGGGGCTTTTAGTCATTCCCCAGTTGCACATCTCCTGAAGTTACACAAGCATGTGTAGGAGTAATGGATTTCTTGCGTTAACTATCAAACCTGTTCCCAGTCTTTGCCCAGAAGATGTTTTCTTGCCTTCTCTTTCTGTCTGCATTTAAACCTTGTAATGCTGAACAGCTCAGTTGGCAGGGTCAGTGTGTTCTGCTGCTACTCTCAATCTATTTTGCAAGGTCCTTGTTTATCTTGCAGATGATTAGCATGAGGTAACAAAGAAATTTCATGTAATGTCTAAATCTACCTGAGATCTTGTTCTAGAAGTGGTTAAGATGCTTCTCTCCTGCTAGCTGAGACTGCTATAGTAAGACAAAACTCATTACAGTGCATAAAGCTTGCAAGGTGCAGGGACCACCTGCCTTCTAGATGATTCTGGGGCTGCATGGTTTCCATCTCAAACATGCTGGGTCAACCATCTGATCAAAACTGGCTTAGTAGAGGGGCATGGGGAGAATCTGCAGGGAACTGTTAGATTCGGGTTTTCTTTGTTAGCAGCAGTGCTCTACCAGAGCTCCAAGACCTAGCAATGCTGGCAGACCAAGATGCTTGCAGAAATCATCTGCTTAAAAATGGATGAAATTGAAAATTCCCACATGCAACAAAGTCAGAAGAATGTTGCCAGAACTGAAATCAAAGAGGCAGTCCTAAATCAAATGGCTGACTTGAAAAGATAAGATGGGGGCAGGGAAATGATGCCTGTCTTCAGACAGTATTTCATGGCTTTTGAGTGTTCTGGGCAAGAGGATGTGCTTCTGGTTGTAACAAAGTATTAGTAGGGTTTAATAAAGGGCAAGATGGTTTGTAAGGTCTAAGGTATCCCATGCAACTTGTTCAGTGCTGAGTTCTGTCTCTGTCCTACCTGACCTCTGTCTACAAGGGGAACTGATTGCAAGGCAGGTTGAGTTGCCACTTTTGTGGAAAGTGGCAATCCAGCAACTTTATGGAAAAGCCCCAAAGGGGCCCAAGGCATCTGTTGAGGAGCTGACAGGTCTAAGAATAAAGTGCTGGTAGTTTCCACCTTAAAACAAGTCTGGAGACACTAAAGGAAGAAAGACAAATGTTAAGGCCTTAACCAGACCTTATGATAAAACCCAGTGCATCCTGTCTACTAATAACTGGTTCAATTAAAAAAAATCTATTTGGACTTTGTGTGTGCGTGTGTGTGTGTATATATATATATATATATATATTTGTATCTAATACCTCATGAGTAGTTTAAACGCTGGTGGGGGTTGGGGGATTGCTTTTAACATATCAGCAGAATTGTTTTAGTCTTCGTCTTGCTTGTGATTTAAACATAATGGCAATAACTTATCAGCTCTGTTACTATTTCAGACAGACCTGAGGGATTGGAGACTGACTTTTTTTGCATTGTTCTGACTAGTAGCAATGTAGAATGCAGCTTGTCTCTTCCTTCTTTTTTAGCAGCAAAGAACCAGTCTCATACTCACTCCCAGGTTTGGTGGATGCTTTGTCATCACTGACCTCTCATCATGATCTAGTGATGTTATCATTTTTAAACTGATGGATCCAGCTGTTTGTATCTGAACATCTGTTCTAGTCTTGCTGTCTAATGGAATGAGCTTGTACACCTGTATACCAGCCAGTCTCAATGTTTTAAACTGTTACTTGTCTTCAATCTGTGCCACCATGTTGAGGCTTGTTAACAGATTACTATGTGGGTAGCAAAAGGATGGAAATCCTTATCCTACAGATCTGAGGAGAAATGTCTGCCGTAAAGACTGGTATATTCCTGTCTGCATCCCCCTCTTTTTTTTTTTCTTTTTAAGTATTGTGTATTTCTATTTGTCAAATGTATTTGAAGAACAAAGCACTCCAGTAAAACTCCTGTTGTCTGTACATTCTATTTCTGTAATTCTTTTTTGAGCCTCAGGGAGAAGCTAGCTTTTTTTTTTTCCTCAAACTACTTTTTTGTCACTGTGACAGTTGTAAATAAAGTTTGAAAATGCTTTCCAACTTGGTGGCTTTTTTTAAATTCTGCTTACAGAAAAGTGGGTTGGGCTTTGATTTCCCAGAGCTTTAATCTGTACCAGAAGCAACCTTTCACCTTAAAAGCAAGGCCATATTATGCAAAGCACTTTGGCATGGGCATGTGTCCCAGTAAAGCTGATGTAATTTAAGCATATGTTTAGACTTAATTATAATTCTTAAGGGGCTTGCTGAGCTAGCACCTAAATCACTTGAAAGGATGAAATCAAGAGGCCTGACTCTTCATTGCCTTGCACCTCTGCAAAGAACTAAGGGGGTGTGGGAATCTGCAAAGGGACTTGGGAAGTGCAAGTTGGGCACCTCGGAAATCACAGGAACAACACTGCAATCTACAAAACTGAATTGGGCAACTAGGCTCTGTCTCTCCATTTGTTGGATTGGGAGCCTAAGAACATGATCCACAGTCTAGAAGCCAGTATGCTAGACTCTCCCGGTCTAAGTTAGCCAATGGGAGATGCCCAGCTGCTAAGTCCTACCCATTTCTCAGAGATGGATGTCAAGGTGTAGGCAGGTGCCTAGCTATCCATGAATGGGTATGTAGTTTCTTGTGGGAGCAAGTTCGGTACCTGCCTCACTCCTCGAGGAGGTGGTGGCGGTCCTGGTCCACCCTAAGTTTAGCATAGTGGTTATAGCACTCTATGGGGATGTGGGAGATCCAGGTTCAATTCCCACCTGCCTCTACCTGTGGGAGGGGAGAGGATTGGAACTGGGGGGGTGGGGTCTCGCCTCTCAGGGCAGTGTTCTAACCACTATGGGATATTCTGATGTGGGGCTCCTTCAATCTCTCTCATTGAGGCTGTTCCCCTGTGGATAAATGAGTGATTGGAGCAGAGGGCCTGGACTTGGGGTCTCCCACCTCCCAAGTATCCTAACCACTCAACTACAGTGCCTCTCTCTCTCTCTCTCTCTCTCCCCCAATGACTGTTCCACTGTGTATGCACATGGGAGACACTCTGCAGTCCTGTGGTCAAGGCACCCATCTAGGCTAAAAGTTACTAGGTGGGGGCACCACCACCCTTCTGGCTTTTGAATGGGACCCAGTTTGATAGGTATGCTAAGAGTACCTACTGGATTGGGCTGCTAGGTGTTCATCCCCTTAACTTGCCCACTCTTCCCCAGGGTTTGTGGCTTGGGCTTGGGAGAGGGAGGAGGGTGGAGAGATGGGTGTCTGAGTGTTTAGAGTGAGGCAGCAGTGCATGTGCTCTGAGGCAGAAACATAAGTGCTGGCCTGAGGGAACTTGAGTCCCCCTCACTACAATTGACAGAACTCATGTCAAACCTGCTAGGGGCTTAAGTGCCTAAGTAGTTTTGTGGATTCTACCCTAGAATTTTTTTTTTTTTTAGAGGCACAAACTGCACTTGAAAGTCTGAGTTGAACCCCAAACTCTTTGAACATCAACCTGGAAGTAGTGTGTCAAGAACTGGGTACAATCTGAAGTGCTCTTACTGACTGTAACAAATTGCTTGTAAGTATAAAACCCAAATCATCTCCTTACCCAAGTCTGTTCTGACACCTGTATGTTACTTTCACCTCTGTTGCTTAGGGTAGTGTTGCTGTGCTTTGAACTAAGGCCACAGAACACAAACACATGGACTACAGAGACAGGAAGGCATTGGCTGAAGACTAGAGCTGTCAGCTGTGCTGGCCCTTCAAATTCAACAGGCCTTCTATATTACTATACAGTTGTTACTGACCCAGCTACAACATAGTGAAAATGTGTAGCACAGGTTGCATCTTAATCATTCTGTGACCAGACTAAAGCCTTGGTCGTGTCCAAAAATGTTAACCATCTGACTCTTGTGTAGCTGGGACCCTTAAATGGAATCACTTTTGGACAGCTTTTCTTGTATCAGAACATTTGAATTGCAGGTAAGTTACAACCAGATTGCCAGGCTCAATTAACTGAGAAGGCCCTCTATGCTTAATGGGGTTAAACTTTGCACTAGGAAATCCAGGTGTTAAGGGCCAAACACCCTCTGAAGTCTGTATCCCTCCTCCAAGAGGAGGGAATTTGTAGTTTTATTGGCTGGGTATATAAGGGACTACAACCATATCTACTCAGACTAATTGGCCCGTGACTGGAGCATTAACTTTAGACTAGACTGGCTTAAAGATACTAACTTGGGACCTGACACTAAAATTAAATGCTTGGGAATTGAGGACACACCTAGCACTAAGCCCCAGCTTAGAGATGCTTAATGCTTTCTTGCTCCTGTGATGTGGATATTTGCATTAGTACTTCTAGTGGGAAAAATGTTAAGTTTGCGCTTTCCTGATGGGACTGTGGTTTAAGCCGCTTTCCAAAGTGCCCCTTTAATTAGTTTTTCACCTCTTCTTAGGCCTTCAAATTCTCTCCATTATAGCAACGTTGCAGCAATCTGTCAAGCTAAGGTAGCAATCTGTGAGATCACTTGGGAGGCTGTATTTCCTGCACCAGAATATTGGTTCTCTGATGGCAAAGCACAGAGCTGGTAAGGATTAGAAATGAGGGAAGAAGGAGCTGGGAGCAAATGAATGTGCTTGCCTACCACCTCGGCACACGTGAGCTGAAATTGTTCTCTGGCTCAGATTAGAACACCCCTGATTGTGTTTTGTTCCCTAAGGGTACATTTAATTCTTTGCCAGCACTGAAAAGGTGGCCTGTCAATCTCTGATCAGGTGAACATCATTTGGAGTAGAACTGACCTGGCTGAAGTCAAAACTAAAATGGGCCTAGTAGAACTATGCTGGGGGGAGGAAGTCTATTATACGGTGCTCGGGTTTAGCCAGTGTGGCCATTGTCCACCTTGTGTGAGCACCACCAAATGAAAACGGAATTGACCTGCTGTCAAATGGGTGGCCCTGAGTCCTTGTCATGCTGGTGCTTTCTTACAAATAGAGTGCAGGTTCTAAAGCTAGTCAGTAATTGCTTCTGCCTCTTCCCTTTTGTTTAAAGATTTAATTCCTGCTGGATGGAAGGGGAAACAATGGGTGGGTCTACCTGACTCAGGCTCAGAAGATTTGGGCTGCAGGGCTGTAACATTGCAGTGTGGGCCCGGGCTCTGGGATCCTTCCCTCTTGCCGGGTATCTGAGCTCAGGCTCCAGCCTGAGCCCAAATGTCTACACAGCAATCTTACAGCCCCGTGGCCCAGGTCAGCTGACTCAGGCCAGCCACAGGTGTTTAATTTCTGTGTATATGTGCCCTGTGTGGCTTCCATTTCCACTTGAAGCATTAATTCTCTGTAGGGTAGTGCATTTAACTGTAAGCAAATAGCTATACACCATTGTCCAACTTAGGGCTGGTCTACACGTGGGGGGGGGGGGGGAGGAGGAAATCGATCTAAGATACACAACTTCAGCTACATGAATAGTGTAGCTGAAGTCGAAGTATCTTAGATCGATTTACCTCAGGTCCTCACAGTGTGGGATCGACAGCCACGGCTCCTCCGTCGACTCCGCTACCGCCTCTCGCTCTGGTGGAGTTCCGGAGTTGACAGGGAGCGCGTTTGAGAATCGATTTATCGCATCTAGACGAGACACGATAAATTGATCCCCGATAGATCGATTACTACCCGCCGAGCCGGTGGCTAGTGAAGACATACCCTCTGTTAACAAACACTATTCCTTGTCTTGGCCTTTATCATACATTCCTTTTGCCCCATCTTTGAAATCAGTGATTTCATGCGTTTCCAATGTGCTGAGCAGCTGAACCTCTGCTGGATTTGTCCCCTTTTGTGTGCATTTGGTCCCTGAAAAGTGCTTGGGTCAGTAAAGGCAGTTTTGCTTCACCACCACCCAGGGGTTCAGAGCCTGCTTGTGCAGGTAACAATATCTGCTATGGTATAGAAGCAGTATTGAATCAGGCTTCTACTTAGTAGCACTTAAAGAACTAATTCCCTCTCTTTGGTAATGAGTAGGGGATAACCCCAAATTCCTGCCCTTGACAAAAAGTTCATAATGGTCCACGTTTGTATTTGAGCTATTGAGAAGAACATCCCCATAGAGCCTCGGCGTTACTTTGGGAGAACTTGAAGCACACTTAAAAAAAAATACTTTAGTCTAATAATCTGCAACTAAATGAAAGCCAAGGAGCAATGCATTTTAATAGACATGTCTCAAGCCCTCCAAAGCAATCAAATAAAACAAACATATATATGTAAACCAAAGCAATTACTATACCCTCAGTCCTTGCCAGAGTAGAAAATAAAAGCTCTGAAATGTTCCAGATTTGGATTGGGTGACTGCTTTCTGTTTATCTTTGACAGGATGGGAAAGGAACAACATTGAGAAAATAAAAAGTTTAAAAGCTGAAACTGGCTCCCTTAACTGAAGTTTAATTATGCACAAATCTGATCCAAACCATCCCACCGCTGCTGTGCATGATATTTTGGAGTAATTTTGCTTGTCAAGGACAAATCTTAGCTGACACTCATGTAATACTCATCACCCCTCCCAGTTAAGAGATATGTACCCATGTTTTACAGTTTAAAAAACAAGCACATCTGTCTCTCTGTGCTGCTGTCACTAAGTCAGGTGTATGGTGCTGCCATCATATATGAGATCTCTAAGTTTCTATAAGGATATCACCTTGGTATCTGAGAGATTCTCCTAGTTAAGGGCCAGAACCAGGAGGATAGAAGATAAGAGCTCTGTTCCCAGCTCTGACACTGCCATCCTGTATTATCTTCAGCAAGTCACTTAGGCCAAGATCCACAAAGGTATTTAGACTCCTAACTTCCAGTGATTACAATGGAAGTGATGAGCCTAACTATTTTGTGGATCTCAACCTTACCTTTCTTTGCTCAAAACCAAGCTCCAGGGGGTCTTTAGGGTAAACCAATGAATAACTGTGACAGGTATCGAGATGCTCAGGTGGGAAGGTGCCACTGATAGGCCAGGTACTGTGGTGCATCATGAATACCAGACACTTGAACCCCTGATAGAATTGCTGCCCCAAGAGAGCTTTGGGAGGTAGCACCCTGGAAG